AACGATTTGGATTGGATTTTAAAGAAACGGGAGGGAAGAACCAAGACACAAAAGAGTATGAAGAATTTGGAGAAAATGTTGTCACATGGTTATTTTGGTAAATTCTTGGCTTGATGGAGCAAGGAAAGAGAGTTTTAAGGATTAATGATTTAGGCTACACTGATTTTGACGTTGTTGATAGTTATAATGGTGAGACTGGTAATTCGAAAGAGTTCTCTTTCTGATGTAGCTAGTCACATGCGATTTTTTTTTTTTTTTTTTTGCTTCGGTTCGAGCTAAGAATCTACTAATGGATGTACCCAAAGAATGTGTATGGGAGATAGACCGGTGTAAGGAAAATCATTTAAATACTTATGTATTGAAGGAAAAAATCACAAAGTATACATGTTATAGGAAAAATTCTCAATCTACACATGTTTGGACATTACTGCGATCGTCAACCGTAGTTAATGCATTCACCACGGCAGACGAAAGTTGTGAATGCATCACCGCGGTTGACATCTATATTAGACAAGTATTACGAGGTTTATGAACCATACATTTGGGCTGCTAGATTGTATACTGTTATGGAGCTTGCCCCATTGCATGGTGATTCTGACTTGATCACAGCAATAGTGGAGCATTGGCGATAAGAGACCTCCACTTTTCACCTCCCTTGTGGAGAGTGTACTATTACTTTGGAGGATGTTGTCGTTCTTACAGGACTATCAGTCGACGGGCAGGATGTGATCCTAGATATACCGAACTCATCATGGGATGATATATTCATGAGTCTACTTGGGAAGCATCCTCCTCTAGAGCAACGATCAGATCTTGCGAATGCATGTGTTAAGTACTCTTGGCTTATAGAAGCATTCTCCACCTTGCCAGAGGGAGCTTCAGATCATACTACAAGTCATATATGATGCATATGTCATTGCGGTCAGTCAAGCTCTGAAGATGTCTGATGAACCATGGCCAACTATGGGTGTTCTTGCTCTCGGCAACGACAACTGCAATCAGAAATATTTTTTGTTCACCATCAAAGGAGCTTGCAATGAGCAAACTTGCATCTGCATTGGCAACATTGCCAACATCACTTTCACTTTCCATTCTAGACTTGAAAGTGGTATTAACTGAGTAAGAAAAAAGAAAACAAAGTGTTAGAATATTCATACATTGAATTAGGTGAAAAGAAATAGCGTATGTTTACTTGAGCAAACAATAATTAAGAGAGTTTTAGAACTTACCGCTTTCCAAATCCATGATCTCTTCATCATCTTCCCTCTCGTCATTCTCTCCGGCCCCGGTAGTTTAGCCCCAGTTAAATCTTGAGGATCTGGTTTGAGCTTGGCTAATTCTTCCTCGACTTGATCGGTAGGCATCATTGCCAATAGATTAATCTTAGGGGGATTTTTCTGATAGGGGATCAGAGTAGTTTTCCTTGGCGATGGAAAATTCGTCCACCAGGTTTTATCAATTTGCAAATTCTTCCTCAATTAATTAAAAGAATGAAATTGGCGGATATTATGACAATCCTCCGCACAAATCAATGCCTCCAACATGATATCACTCAAAGAGGATCTGAATGGACTGAGAATCCGACCGCCACAGCTGAAGGTTTCCTATGAGGCAACAGAAGAGATGGGAATAACTAGGATATCCTTAGCCATCTCAGCAAGAATCGGACATGTTCCAGAGTGTCGAGACCACCAACTCAAGATGTCAAACTTGGCATCATCACTCTCCTCATTGATGCCAACAGTTTGACATCTTAGATAGATGTCAAACTCAGTAGAGCTACCTCCTGTATCCTGCAGAAGTGCTTCTCTTTTCCTCTTCCTAAGCCTCTCCTCAAGCTGCTTAATCCTATCACCACCAGCCGTGCTCTCACCAGTGGTAGGCTCAAATGCAGAGGAGGGTGCTTTTGATCCATACTTCTCTTTGAAAACCTCAAACAGCTGTTGCATTTCCAACCTAATGTAGTCAACCATTTCTCCTCCTTTATCCTTCACATACATCATTGCCAAAACCTCGGACACCAAATCAAGTTTACTTCTTGGATCAAGCACACATACTATATAAATTAAGTGGTTCACCTTCATGTTCTTCTCATTCACAACACATGACTCAAACCAATACTTTTGTACCTTTTCCTCAACCTTCTCAGCCATCTTTTGGATCTCTTCATGCGGATCATTCTTCAATTTCTCAATGATGTCATATACAGTAACAAGCTTCTTGAAGAAGATATGGATAGTCACATATTTAGTTCCTATACAATGAGAAGATAACACAGAAGATTAGAATAATAGAAATAGAAATGGGCAAATGGTTAAATATTTTTAAATAAAACAATGGAATTCAGAAATTTCACTTACCAATTACCATAGACTAGAAGGCTCAAGTCATTGAAGACTTTCATATAGTTTTTCAACTTCCTAATCATCTACCAATCTTGATTAGTTGGAAGCCCACCTTTTGAGTCAAGATAATCTCTAAGAGAATGATCTTGTGGACTTGAATACAAAGTCGTAAACATTGCATCAAAACTTTTCGTTGACTCTAACATGGTATAGGTGGAGTTCCACCTGGTCGGTACATCCAAAGACACCAGTTTGGTTGACTCCACATGCAGAAATTTCATGCCATTCTTGAACCGTAACAACCTAGCTGGTGAAGACCTCACCCACTTCACACAATCCCGAACTCTGTCCACAACACCACCAACCACTTTCAGTCCATCTTGTACCACCAGATTAATGATGTGTGCAACACATCGAAACTGCAGAAACTTCCCATCCATCAAATCACACCCCCACTCCTTTAGCTTCGTTCTCATGCACTCAGTGAGAACACCATTTGAAGTTGCATTGTCCATGGTCATGCAGAACAGATTCTTCACCTTCCACTCTTCAAGAACTCCTGCAAGCTTCTCTGCAATATCAACTCTAGTATGACTTGTGATGGGAAAAAATGCTATAACCTTCTTCTGCAACTTCCAATAACCTCCAATAAAGTGAGCAGTAACACACATATAATTCTTGATGTTATCAGAAGTCCATGTATCCGTAGTGAGTGAAACTCTTCCTTGGCTCCTTGATTAAAAAAAATCAATTAAATCCACATTTTTATCCAAGAAGATATGAAAGCAATAATCTCTTATAGCTTTCCTCCCAGGTATCCTAAACAGTGGTTGAACAGCAGACATGAATTGCTTAAATCCTTCCCTCTCCACAAAGTGAAATGACAATTCATCCTTTTTGATCATACTGGTTAATGCATATCTAGCTTTTCACTGATCAAACTTCCATAAACCACTTACTTGACCACCTTCCGATGTCTGCAATACTGTCTGATTTTTTGTTGTTGCCAACTTAGCCAAACATGAGTGCTTGTGGTTATTCATTGCAGTGGTCCCATTTTTGTGAGGATGAGCTTTGATTAGAGTATGACAGTGTATACACTCTCCCATCGGGTAGTTGTCAATTATCACCTTCTTAAACACCTTCCAACAAGGAGCTTTACCCACCGTCTTCAACCATTTCTCGCAGCAAAAAATGTCTTATGTAGCTGTATGTTGAAATGCGAATTGCAGTAAGAATGAACCCAATTTGGCGCGTGCCCCAATTGGTCTTATTCCCTCCCCAATTCTCTTATTTCTTCCAATTCTGGCGCGCACCCCAATTTGATTTTAATGACTGTAGATTGGGAAGTATTTTCATAATCACTGTATTTCAGGTAATTTTTAAATCACAATAGTTATGGAAAAAAACCTGGATTTTATGGGTTAGATAAGAGTGACTTGTCATTTCTGTCAAGTGTCAACCACGTCATCAAAACTCTAACGGTGTTAACGAAGTATGACGAAAGTAAATGACCAATGACCAAAATTGGAAATTTATTTAATTTAGAATGAGCATTAATGCAATTAAAAATTTTGAGCGGACCGGCAAACGTGAAATAAATAAGTAACCTCAACGACCAAACATACTATTAACCCCTTAGATATTGCTATGCAAATTATAAATTGTTAAATGTATCAAGGTCATAAAAAGCTTGAATTTTCTCTATACATTTGCTTGATTGAGTAATGAAAGATTTGATACAACTGCCAAAGAAAGTGAAAATCACATTAGTAAAGAGCATTGCTCTAAGAATATGTGGTTAGTACCTTTGTTTTCGTTATCAACGAATACTTCATTTCATTTAAAGGGGGCAAATGACAAATTGGTATGAGTATTAAATAAAATTTATATGTTGTACAAATATCCGACAGATCCACATGAAACAAATCGAGAAGTGTCTAAATTACCCATACTAATATCATCCTAATTTGCAAGGGATTCATTAATTTACCTAATGACAAGTCAAGTACCAGACAGATGCATATGAAACAAATTGAGAAGTGACTAAATTACTAATATCATCCTAATTTGCAAGGAATTCATTAATTTGCCTAACGACTAACCGAAAAATTCCACCAGCCCACCCACATATCCAGAAGAAGATTTAGGTGCATAACTGGGTTGACTCGACATCTTTTTCGATTTATCATCGTCCCCTTATTAAAATGCATCCGATTGTTTCACGCAAACCAAACGCACAACAAGAAAAAAACAGGCAATAGTGTTTTCTAACAGCAATAGTGTTTTACTCTAACAGCCCAAGTGGTTCTTAATTAAAAAAATAACACAACCACATTGGGACAGTGAGGTAATACACTATGTTTACAGATTAAAACAAGGGGGAAAAAAAGAATATTAGCTCAAGAGGCCTGTAAAAGAGCCCCCGAGCTCACCAATTCCTTCTTCTCTCATATATTAAGTTGTAACAAAAAGGTCAAACTAACGATATACAATTTTACAAAAGGATTTGTCTTCCTCTTCTTCATGCACTTCCTTCCCCATCTCTTCAAAAGGCCGAAGACAGATAGAAAGCACCACGGCACCCAATATTGCCCGGGAATTTTTAAAATTAGAAACAAGAGGTAAAAACCCAAAAAAAATGTGAAACTTCAATTATAGTTGCAACTGCCCTGGGCCTTTCCTGGATGATCTTGATGGCATCCTATTTACTTCTACCGTTGATGTAGATGACGAGGACGTAGGTCTCCGAGTTTCTTCCGACCTCTGAACCTCCTGCACCCACATTAGAGCTTTCACAATGTAAATTATAGAGTCACTTTGATATTTCACACAGCCGATAGACTGGAGTCGACGTCAAATGAACAGCGGTGAACTTCACACAGCAAATTCTGTTCTTGCAAAGAACAAAAATCAAAATCAACCATTCCTGAGAACAGAACAGGATGAATGATCATACAGATGGAAACAACTTACCTTTAGTGATGAAGTGGAAGTGGAAGTGGAAGTGTTGCGCAAATGTGCCAGCTCTCTTGTGTGGATACGATGTTGGCGCTGGACTTGCTCAAACTGCTGCAACTTTGAAGTGAAGTTAATCCCATTTTGAGAATTAGGATTTCCCGATTCCTGCCCTACTACATCGCCATCCTCCGAGAGCTGTGATCCACTTGGACTGTGATGTAGAATTTGAGAATACGGGTTCCCTGAAGACGTCCGCTTAACCTGATGATCCCCACTGAAGGAATATGACGGTACCGTCTTTAATCGAGTCCGCAGAATCTTAAAAGCGGCACTTTGCTGTATTTGAAAGAAGAAAAAAAACGAAAAAATGAACTACATCAGGGACCCAGGAAATATCAGGGATTAATCGCTCACTCATCCTGTTTATACTCGTTGAAAGATGTTCACTGTTTCAAGCTCAATCGGACGCCAAAAAAAAAGAGGAAATAAGTACATGCACTTTCTTTTCCAACATACAATTGCTATCAAGGGGGCAAGCACTTTTCTAGGAAGTAGGGATGTGTGGATATAGTAATAAAGCTCGCCAAAGGACAATTAGTCAACTTATAATTATCAGACACCGAATGCATACATATCAGTACCTGCCAAAAAGGAAGCAGGCATATCATGAGGGCATACCTGGGGAAGCAACATGAGAAGACCGTACAAGGCTTTTAACAACCATGTGTATCTTCCTGGCTCAAGAAGCTGCATGGATCATAAAATGGCTCAGCTCAGAGGCCACCCAAAAATCGAAGGGGGGGAGGAGAAAGTATCCACATCCCAACTCAGCTCACAAAAATAATCATTCCTTGTTTTATAGTATCAATGTATCATATCCAGCTAAATCCAATATATGAAACAGTTGGAGTGGAGTGTGAGCGAGGCATTATAATTCTTCAAATTAATACCTGCAGCCTTAGATAAGCAAAAATCGGAGTCTCAAGCAGCCGAATCAGTTTATCCAGCTGTACCAAGAACTTCACATTAATATCCTCCTCCACTAGTGACTGTATCACGCCACTGGCATGCTGGTACATCTGAGGGACATCGCAAGGGGATTGTGCTCAAAAGATGGCATCAAAAGTATAGTAGACAAGTGACACCTCAAAATTATCAGGAAAAAAAAAGAATTATTTATTTTACCTGTACTAACAAGCAAAGGCTAATGATGGCCATCGGCGAATGGCACCACGAAGCATATAATGATAGAAATAAATCTCTGCCCGCAGCATTCACCAGTGATTGTTTCAACAGATCTCGAAGCTCGGCTAATTCAGAGGACGTAAGCAAAATCAAATTCAAAGCCTGAAAGAAACAGAGTAGAGCACATGAGTGAACATGAAGAGAAGCAAACAAAATTTTGGGCCAAATAAGAAACACCACCACATAAATCGGGCAAAGGGTTATACTATAATCATATGAAATTGCCGTACACATAGATCACTTCACGGCATCAATTAAAAAGGAAGATCTAGAAACTTGAAAACAGAGTATTACGTTTGCCGACTGTCCTTTAATTTAATGTGTAGCTCTGAAATTTTCCTATAACACTAAGAGACAGCTTGGCACCAAATTGGTAAAATAGCTGAAATGGGCCTCCAAAGCTTAAGTGTAACTTGAATCTATTACGTAGGTTACTGACATCAAGACAATTGAAACTCCTCCTAAGCAAATGCAACTGTTAAAAACCATAAGCCTCACTTCAACTTAGCACAACTCTAGCAGGCACCTAAGTTCTATGAACTTGAGAAATTAAGTAGCAGGCCAGTAGAAAAAATTGTTGTCCAGATGCACAAACCTGAACCATAATAGAAGCAAAATCCAGGTCAGCTTCACCCTCAAGTATTTTGGACAGTTCCCTATATACCCGTTCAGCATCTAAAAGCACACAAAGACGCCGAATGATCAAGGCACCACGCCTAGCAAAACAAAAATAGCATCATGTAATTGCTGATACCTGACCATGGGAACAAGACAACAAATCAAACTTAAGGATATAGGTTCTTACTTTTCCAGAAGAGAATTATCAATGCGGAAATTATGCATTAAGAAGACAACAAGTTGGCGGAAATGTTGTGGATCCTTCGCGATGCATGCATGAACATCAAGAACCAGCAGTACAACCTGGAAAAAAATTAGGTCTACAATACATCAAATCAAGTAACCTGCAATTCCAGCATCAAATTCCATATAAAGCAAATGCAAGATTTGAAGATTAGTATCATTTAATCTGATCAGATATGCAAGCAAATACGACGTGAAGAACAGGCGGTAAAACACTATATGAAGAATGGCAAAGCGTACATATAGGTCAACGATTGAAGAATGAGGTTTACTGCACTGAAAGATGGGAAATTAGCCAGCTAGTAACATTATATCACTAGAATAACTCAAGGACTAACATCATCAGTAGTTCCCTTTTCCATATACTGTTCCGATGATGGCCTGAAGGTGACAACCATGCAGAACTATGTAGACTAACAGATGATAGCCAAATAATAGAGTTTTGAGACTATAGACAATGTAATGAAGCTAAATTTCCCATCTAAGAAATTATTGGTAAGCATGTCCAAAACTGGACGATTACAATAATAACTTTAAAAGATGGAGCAGTAAAATTGAAAGTCGAAAACTGTGGAGGAACTTAACAATGAATCATCTACTCAACCACTCCCCACCCACACCACCAAAAATTTTAAAACAAGTTTAGGGAATGCACTACTGATCAGCAATTATAAGATAAAGCAATAAAGAAACTTCTAGGATGAGGGCGGAAGATCAAAACTATTGAACTTATCAGTCTTATAAAAGACCAAAACAATATTCCAGAAAACAGAAAAAGACAGGCAATGAAATCATGACTAAATAGCGAGCTTACAGAACAGAACGTTTAATAGAAAAGATGAGATAAAAAGCTCACAGAAGTAACTATCCAATCAACTAATTAAAATTACCTCATCAGAAGCATCTGATAGTACTTTTAAGAGAGTATCAAATATGTCATCAAGAAAATTTAACACCTGTTTCATGCAACAGACAAGATTAAACATCATCAATCTAAAAGATAAATTAACTAACATGATTATAGAGTGCATAAAAAAAGTAGAGCAGTAACTCATTTTTCAATTTGTATAGAGTGCCTTTATATTGCCTCCCAGTGACATGCTACATATTGACCACATATTCCCCTACTACAAATCCAATATATAGTCCAATCAAGAATGCATGTGTAGTAACAAATCATTGACGACTCTGAAGCGATCTTGGACCAAGAGTCATATAGCGTCCCTTACTTCCAATTACTAACATAACACCACTATCAACACTCTGAAGGATACAAATCTTAGAAAAGCACTCTTCAAATGTGGACATGGTACGTCACTCTGGTTTCTGAACCAAGACAGCAAAACATATAGATTATGTAGGTATATCTTATACCTCAGCTCGATGTCTGTTCAAAAGAGCAGATATCCAGTGCAATGCCTCTATTCGGGTAGCGTCCCACTCACTAGACAGTTGTCTGGACAGTTCAGGAAGTACACAATCACAATGAGACTAACGATACTCAGAACAAAATTGTATAGCTAAAGAGCGTATGCTAATTAACTTCAAAGTAACCTCACGTTAGATGGACATGTTATCTAAATAAATAATAAAATACACTGCTCTCTCCTGCTCAAAGTTGCAAGACCAACCTCCTGGCAATTGAGAGAATTGCTCCAACATCAAACCCCTCTGCAGGATCAGCCTTGATAGCTCGAAGCTCTTCATTGGTTTCACGGGCAACCTCCATTCAAAATGGAAAGAAAGATCAGTATATTATACTTAAGCACCACATAAAAATTCAAATTTCAGATTCAATTGTATTCTTCATTTCCAAAGAAGGATAAAGAATGTCACTATAAATTAGGTTGTCCATCAAACAATGAGATGTTCACAAGTTAATAACATACAAACCATCAAACATAACCTCTAGTGGTTTGGAGCTGGATACCTTTCACTGGTCCAACCAAGGATAATACAAGCGTATCAGACATAACACTTTACATTGATAGATCTCTCTAAGAGAGTAAATCGAAAATATACTTCCATTATTTAAAGGTTACACCACAGCCACGGGGAATAAATTCCAATTTTTGGAAACATACATATGCAAATAAGGATGTGATCAAAGTCGTTACCGACTTTTGAACGTTGAGACAGCTTACCACTCTAATCTTCTCTTCTTTGTCAGAAATACAAGGCAAAATTGCTCCAAGAATATCAGCATAATAAGGCACAAGTTGGTCTCCGCCAAGTTTCACAAATTCATTGATCTGCACAAGCCCAAAAGTAAAACACGCTATACAAATAGCAAGATGTAATTCAAGTTTAAGGAATAGATAGAATAAAGCATCAGTACACTCACCCAAGTGATGGCTGTCAACCGAGTAAATTCATCAGAAGAAGCTGCCCTTTGCACCAGTATCTCAGCCATGCGCCCATAATCTACAGACTTCAACAGTAGCACTGCTCGAGTCAGAAAACTACAAATGAAAAAAAGATTTATCTGTCTCACTTTGATATATAAATCACAAAAATCCACTATACTTTTAAGAAAAAGACCCAACCCACTGCAAAGGACAAAAGCAAAGAAAGTATTCACAGTAAAAGTTTCTGAGCAACTAGTAGAACAAAAGAGCATAAATATCAAAGTTGAATGTCAGGGGAGGGCCTACTGGGGAATTCTTTATTTCTTGGAGAAACTCAGAAAGTGCAGAATCAGCTTGTTGTCGTATTTCATGGCTAGAATCACTCAGCATATTGAACAAACCTGAGATTCATGTAAGTTCATAATCATCAAATCCCAACAATTGATTACAAATTTTAACAGAAGATTCTAAACATGCAGTACACATTACCATCAAGGAAATCTGGTAGAAACCCCAGCATATCTATATCAGGAACACTGTCCAAAACTGTAATCCATCCTACCAGAAATTGGCGGACATAGGGATTCAACACATTCATACGTTCCCTCAACAGAGGAATGAATTCTTCAATGCTGACAAAGACAATCAACAGAACCATTGAGATCAAAATAATATTTACGACTTCAGAAGTCTGCTTCCAGGACTAAAAAAGGTATATGCAACAGTATAACATACCTGAACTGATCACTTTCTGTGACAATGTCCTGTGACATGATGGAAAATATGAGAAGCGATTTGAAAGTGAAGGATACTATCTTCAGGGATAACTTTAGGTAATTCATGAGAACTTGTAACTGAGATAGAGAAGCTACTCACTTTTACAAGTCGGTCTAACAGATGAGCAGCACTTTGTACATTGGCATCTGAATCGGCAGAAAGTTTGCAGAGAGCATCAAATATTTGGTTAAAGAATACAATAAAATCCCCTCTGACAACCTGCACAGAAAATAAAACCAAGTGAAATAATGTCTAGGCGTGAAAATGAATAGGCAAGATGCAAAATTAGGAATCAATTCTCACCTTTGCAATGTTATATAGAGCTTCACATGCATAATACCGGACTCTGCTATCTTGGTCAGAGAAAGAATGAAGCACAGGTGGCACAATTTGCTGGTAAGATGCAACCAGAGTATTAGTGATACACAAAGTTGCATGAGTAAAAGGAATCATCCAATGTTGAAGGGAGAAAGATTATGGAACAGCATATGAGCAGTTGGCAACTTTGCCTAATACAAAAAGAAAGAATACACAGCTGTAGCATTCATACTAGGCAACATGGACAAAACTGCGAGTTAATCAAGTCAGAGCTAAATAACCAATCAAGTTAGCTTGTGTCCTCAAACAACATCTTCTCATGATGACTCATCCACGGAAGACTTCCAATCAAAAAATAAAATTGCTTGCATAATTAATCCAGTACTAACAGTCTTCAAAAGCTTTGGCCCTGAAGTCAACTGACTATATGTCTAACAGTTTCAGACCATTTTGCATAATTGTCTAGTGTATGGCCAAAAGGAGAACACAAAGCAACTTGACCTTAACCAAGTTTGAAACCAGAACTCACATAGCTCCTCACCCTTTGCTACTGAGTTCTAGATCCAGACTGCATAGCAAATCCCCAAATGAGACCCTATGCCCGAATGCATGAGACAAACAAGAAGTTGTTCACATCTTGAGAACTTGCAAGTGAAGTTCAATGCAAATACAGTACCTCAATTATTCAACAAAGCTATTAAAGTATCTAATTGATCTAACTTCCAAAAAGCCAAATCTTTCTATTTCGTGATTACCCCTCTGAACCATACAGCAACAGCATTTACAGACTCATTTGGACTTTTCTATACTGACTATGATGAAGTGCTATGTTCCAGTTTCTTTTATGATTCCAATAAGTCATATAACTACAGGATAACTGTACTTCCTACTTGGATCGGAAATAAAAATTATCGTTGTCACTACACAAACTGCAGATTTTTATTTGTTTCTATCTTTCTTTGAATGAGTGAAATTACTACACTAACTAGCAGCCGATTAAGCCCCACATGAGATGATGCCTCAGAACTTCAAGTTCAAGAAAATGGTTCATAAGATGATATATATGGAATAAAATAAGTTATTCCACTAATTACCTAATACAATCCAAGTTAATATATTCACACAGATAGCTCAACATTGTTTGCTCTATTACGTGACCCACGTCCTATTGATCAAGGTTGGCATAGCAGATCAAGGAGCGGTATTACAAAAAGGGGGGAAATTTTCATAGCTTATTAAGAGGTTGTTCAACCAGTATGCATCCAAGGACTTCACGAGGAAACACGGCCTAGGAATCGTGAATCAACCTTCATCCACTGTTACTAATACTGAAACTCAATCTAGAAAAAACATATAAGGATCTTAGATCACTGTGGAAGAGCAACTAAATTACCTCAAGATGCTGAGCTGCTTCTGATGTCAATCCTACCGTTGCAGCAGCCAAACCTATCAACCCACCCTGAAATATTGAAATTTGGAGGACAAGGTTCAATTTCAGCATTCTCTTTCACAGAATTTCAAATCCAAGAATGCCAAACTAAACTAACACAGAAGTTTCAGAAGTCCAGTCATTCAAAGGCACCTTGCGGTGGTTGGCTTGAGGAGAGTAAGTGTACTCAGAGGTCAACAAATCGATAACCGCCGATATCTTGTCATGATCGCCTGCTGCAGCCAGCTGCTTCACTATCCCCTCAACCTACATATGGAATACAATTTTCAAAAACCACTCCTTGGGGAAGCAAAATCGAGAAATTCAACCAGAACACGAGGAGGAATAGGGAGCATTCGGGAACCTCCAGAGCGGCATTCTTCCGTTTCTCGTAGAGCTTATCGGACAAATTGCGGAGCACGTTGGCCGGAATCACGGACAGCGCGTCGGCCATGTCCGGAGCAGAAGCAGCGGCCGCGAAAGCACCGCCAAATTTCAGAGAAAATTTGTCAAACTCCTCTTCCTTGCTCCTTCCCTCGGCCAGGCAAGCGAAAAGAAGCGAGAATAAAACTGAACCGAAACAAGATCAAATCGGTTTCCTTATTTTCTCCTCCTCGAATCTTAACATATGGTCGTATACCTCCGCAGTCAAGCGGTTAGGGTTCGGCGCCGCCGTCGCCGTCCGTCGATCAACGGCAAAGAAGTGTGTGTTGAAAATGACAGGGAATCAATCAGATCTGACAGAAATCTTGGAATCGACGGTGGTAATAAAAATGTTGAGACCTTCACTTATCGCCGGCAGTTTCCTTTCCTTTCTTCTTACCCCTCTCTTTCTTTCTATTAATCCAGAAGAAAATTTCGAGTACTGTTTCGTTCTTCGTTCTTTCTTTCTTTCTTTCTTTCTTTGTGCTTATTCTCGATCTTTTTCCTTTTTGGTTGTTTTGTTTTTTAAATATTTTTTTTGTTGGCTGGCTCTCTCAGCTGGAAATGTGTTTTACTTTTATTTCCCATTTTCCTGTCCGCTGTTTCGTCTAATTAATCAACCGTCTTTTTGAACTTTTTGGATATGCGCGTGATAGCAGGTAAAATGTCAAGTTTCATCACTGAATTAATTAAAACCTATTATGTTTAGTCACTATAAAAAATTCATATTAATATTAATAATGGGGCATTGCTATTCGTCGCCCTAAAATTTCTTATTCATCGCCCTAATTAAGTCAAATTTACTTATATGTCCTTAGTTCAGATGAATTTTATGTTTGGTCACTCGGTTAATCAATTTGTTTCACTTTTGCTACTCAAAAAATTTTCCTTACTTATTGATCACTAACTTTACATCATTATTTAATAATTGATCACAGACCGTTAAACTCTGTCACCTTCATCTTAGATGGCAGTCAACCATAATCTTTGACCGTTAAATTAACATGTGAAATAATTTTTTTTTTTTGAAATCTTATTATTTTCCACCTCTCTATCTTTCTACCACGTACCAAGGCACCAACCTCTCTCTCATCAAACACTCAAACAAAATCAGAACCCCCAAAGAGGAATTCTCTTGCATCTCGCATGGAATTGAGAAAGCGAGAGGCTAGCATCTGGAAGGTTAGGCGGTGGGAGGGAGGGATTGCCGGTTCTGGGCTTGCCGGCGTGAGGGAGGTGGGTTAGGCGGCGGAGGGAGGGATTGGGGGTTAGGCGGCATGAGGGAGGTGGGTATGCCGGCGGGAGTGTTCTTGGTTAGGCGGCGGTAGGTTTTCGGAGCGTGAGTTACTGAGTTTGTTTTTAGGATTTAGGTTTGAATTGGGGATAGGGGTTTCTTTATCATTTTGGTCTGATTTAGGGCGATAAAATTCAAATTTTAGGGCGACGAATAGCAATTCAGTAATAATGAGGCTAAATTACACGTTTGGTCACTCAAATTACACAAATATTTCACGTTTGCCACCCGAATCACTTTTCTTTCTTATTCGCCACTAACTTTTCGAATCGTTTCACCATTAGTCACCGTTTGTCCAATTCCGTTAAAATCATCCTACGTGGCAGTCAACCCAATCATTTGACCTTCAGTTTGATGACATGGCAATTAATTTTTTTTCCAAATTAAATAATATTAAAAAGTATATATTGATTTTAGCCTGCTGCCAATTAACCAATTCCTTTCGCCACTTCTTGCTAAGCTAGCCCGAGTCGTCCAGAATTCGCTCAGTCCCTAACCGGAGCAAATTCAAGAGCAGCGGGAACAGGGGCAGATACATGGAGGACACCCCTAAAATTTGGAAAAACGATTATCCAACCTTTGATAGTAGTTTGTGTATGGGTAAAAAACAAATTAGTGATAGTAGAACACCCTTAAAATATGGAAAATGAGTATTCAACCTCCTATAGTATTCTGCATATGGGTACAAATAATATTTAACTATTTCAGTGATAGGGTCTATGTGATTTGAACTTGGGAACACTGCTACTATTAGTAAATATAGTTTCAATTAGACTACAACTCATTTGTAGTTATGTTTTAGATTAAAATATAATAGTAAAAGGCTATTCTTATCCCCAATTATTTTCAAAACCTAACGATTAAATCCAATTACGGGTTACCTTTGTCCAGTAGGATATGTCATGAGAGATTTATTGAGCAGTGTATACACCGAATGTATTTTACCATTCTTTCATAATACGGAACATGTTTGAACTTTTATTCTAACTTTCACTAGTTGATATTTTAATATTTAATAATTATTTGATTTAATTTTAAATTTTTATTTTGTTTAAGAGGACACCCCTATTTAAAATTCCTGAATCCGCCACTGAGCGGGAATGCACCCAAAACACCGATCACCGTCTTGTTGTGATCGTCAAGAGCAAAGTTGAAAATCGCTCCGACGTTGTAATCCTGCTCCTCGGGAAACCCATCAATCAACGGCGGGAGAAGCCTTGATCATACAATCTTCACCTTGTTCTACTTTTGCAACAAGAGGTAGACTAGAGAAGTGACACTGTTCAACTGAATGAAATTAGGGTTCGCAAGGTGGAGAGAATCGCCGGAGTGCACAGATAGACGGAAGCCTTTTCTTTGCCCCTGGTTTTTTTTCGGAGAGAAAACGAGGCATCTTCAATTTCGAACACTTGTGGACTCTTCAGCTTGGCGAGGAGCGCTTCCACCACCGGGTCAAATATTGTTTCGTTGGCCTCAAATTAGGACGAAACGGAGCGAGAGGAGTAACATCTGGGTCGGTTCGGTAATTGGAACGGGAGCGACGAAATTGGACGGCTTTGGCTCGATGCTGAAACAAGGAGATTTGGAGCGGACTCCCAACTCCCAATTCCTACTCACCAAGGCTTCCCCCATGACCGCCGTCTAGTCCGCCACTTTTGCCAAGCTCGCCACCCAAAACGCTCTCGCCACTCAGCACCCAGCGTTTTGCTTCGCTGCCAAGCTCCTCTGCTTCCCCGATTTGTCTCCCGGCCTCGAGAAGAATGCCAAAAAGGTCCTGCCCGGACCATACCTCGAAATTGCCCTTTGCCGCATCCCAAATCGGCGAGCTGAAACGAATCTTTCATGTTGACGACAACTCGACGATGGAGGGCATGATCGTGAACTAGCTGAACGAGTGTGATCGCACTCCGATCCCCGACGAGATGAAGTGGTGCGTGGGGTCGGCGGAGGACAAGATCGACTTTGCCACGTCGCTCTTGGGCCGGAGCATGGAGTTGGCAGCGGATTAAAATTATTATTTTTTATATTAATTTTTAATTTGAAAATATATACATATTTACAATTGCCACGTCATCAAACTAACAGTCAAAGGATTTGTTTGACTGCCATATAGGATGATTTTAACAGAATTGGGCGGCCGGTGACTAATGGTGAAACGATTCATAAAGTTAGTGGCGAATAAGAAAGAAAAGTGATTCGGGTGGCAAACGTGAAAGATTTGTATAATTTAAGTGACCAAACGTGTAATTTAGCCTTAATAATGGTTACTAAGTTTAGTAAAACATATTATGTTTGGTCACTCTCCGTTAGTCTTCGTCCAACTTCGTTAATGGAGTCCGTTGACTGCTGATGTGGCAAACGAAGTCACCTAATCAGTCGGATTTAACCCAATAAAATATGACCCGCCACAGCATTAAAACCAACCCAACTCATGAAACCCTTTATCTTACCCGACCAAAACCTTCTCCCTCCTTGCCCCTTCTTCGAGCTTTGCCTCCATATCTAGGGGTGATAATCGGTTGGCGGTTTCTCGGTTAAACCGAAAACCGATCCGAACCGAGCGGTTATTCACCGAACCAAAAACCGATAACTTACCCTCGGTGGCGGTGGGCTGTTTTGGGGATTTATATTAACCGACAACCGTCGGTGGCTAACCGAGATAAAATCGGTGCACCGCATAACCACTCCGCCACTCCTTTTCCCCCTAATCTCTCTCCCAACCCAAGTCCCAACCCCTCCATGGCTCTCTAGAAGAAGAATCTTTGTTGCCCTTACATCCTCAATCGCTGTAGTCCGCCATCGAGATCCAGCAAAAGAAGGCCAAGAAGGAGAAGGGGTCGCTACAGGCTGCAGCAGTGAAAATCGATCATCGGTCTTCGTCGCCATCCCGTCCTTCTTCATTCGCGGAGGTTGACGAGAACTGCAAAGCCGAAAGAATCGAAGCGGTCTCAGTCTCCGCCCCTTCTTCATCCTTCAGATCCAAGGCCTATCGGCAGTAGCAGCAGGTCGATCTTCGGTCGCCGTCGTCATCGTCGTCCCGTGCATCGCCTTGCATGTTACATCCTCGCCGCCCTGCATTCTTCCTCGTCGTCGTCGCCTCCTATTTACCTCGCCGGCGCCCTTCGTCAGAGCCGATTGCCAGCTCACCGTCGCTGCAAAGTGAGCGGGGAAGAGGCTAGGAGCAACGGAGTCAAAGAGGGAAATCTCAAAGATTGGAGAAGATTTTGAGAGAGAAAGAGAGATACGGGAGTTGGATTAGGAAATTCCCAGAGATAAGGAGAGAGACAACCCAAAAATTCCCCTTATTTTATTTTAATTGTGAGGGTCGATTTAGCCGACTAACCGCACCGCAGTTAGCAGTTTCGATGGCGGCTAACCGTAGACCTTCTCGGCTTCGATGACGGTTGGTGGTAACGGCCTATCTTCGGTGGCGATTAACCGACGAATCGGTTCGGTTAAACCGCAACCGAACTGATTATCAAGCCTAGACCATATCCAAACCAAGATCAGCAACTCGTAACCGCTCTTCCACTAGGGTTAAGGTTACCTGCTCGAGATCTACTCCGGAGAGTATTGACATTAGATATTATATCTATAAAATGACATAACTAAATTTGACCTTTGTGTTGGAGTTGGTCTAACCCAATTGTTTATACCACATGAGAAAACGGCGCCAACCCAAGGTTACTCCAACGTAGAATGGGACAGGAAGAGGGAAAGGTCGGTTGACAACTCTTTGGCTTTCTTTCTATTGTACATTCTCTAAACATCAATGAAGATACAACAAAAGATAAAATCTAAAGAAGCAAAAATACCCAGTCTAACTCAGTTCTCTCAAGTTTATGGAAAAGGGGCCAGGATTTTTAACTACACAGTGAAAAAGGGCCGGACAGACTCACGTTATCTATCCATGCGTTTCTTTGCATTACTCGGCCATCGGTTGCTTGCTACTAGGTAATGAAAGGAAAGAAATCAATATCGATCGAAAGAGAAGGGACTAATAAGGGAGGTTTCCAGCTCCCTGAATCCTCTGTAAACAGACTCTGTCTTGCTTTGGGGAAGGGGCAACCGTCTCACTTCTGTCATGTACCTGCTCACATCACACAGATAGATAGATGATAAAAGAAGGGATTTAGGATTTTGAGCAGATGCAGTTGATAAACAAGGGAATCCAAATTTCAATAACAGATAAGAAAAGTAACCTTTTTGCTGGGGCAAAAAAAAAACTAACACACAGACCGAGCATTCAACAGGGTTATTGCAGAACCATCATCTTATTATGTGCTGTTAATGTCAATAAAAAGGACGCGCAATAAGGAAGGAATGTTTTTAAAGCTGACCTGTTTGCTGCACTGGTGATCCTATCGCGCATCCCTTGGTTAAAGACGGCTGTTTGCTCCAATGAGAATGAACCACCTAAGATCAAGGAAGCACCGGTAGCACTTGTCCCCATCCTCTCAGCAAATGCTGACATGGCACATTCGCGGAGCACTACGAGGACAGACTGAAGAAGCCGCAACCTAAGGTTGGGAGACGGCAGAATAGCTCCGTTGGATAACAGTTGGTCATAAGCATTCAACACCGGTTCAGTTGCCCCTTTACAGGTAGCTATAAGTGCTCTTGCCACATCTTCATCACTCACCAGTTCAGTCCCAGACTCCGCTCTCTCCTATAGACACCAATGTAGCAAACACGTTACGTAAACAGAGGCAACCAAAAGCTAGACCACGCTTATGGGAAAGGGATTTGGAAATTCCGAATTGGTGTTTTTCTTGGCTAAAATGTAGCTTTTAAAAAACGTTGATGTAAAACTAAAACCTAATACTTTCTTGAGTTCAACTAAAACTTTACAATGAAGTCAGTTGGCTTTTAGCAAAAAAAGCTAAAAACAAACATGGCCCAGAAATGCCAGAGACAAGAGTTGCTCTATGAGATAACATTACCAGTGCAGCCTTCTCAAGGTGAAGACACAGTGTTTCTAGAGGTAAAATAGCATCATCTCCAGGATATATATTGGAACCAACACTCTTCAACACCGAACAGGCTTCAGCAACTCCCCCTCTTGAAAGAGCTCGATCAATGAGTCTAGCCCAAGTTTCTCTGACTATACTGCTATCAGCATCACCAGCATAATTTGCAAAGTAGAGCATTTCAAGACATACCTGATAGAAAGCAAAAGGAATCGAGCTCTCTTGTTAGATTGGGAAGTCTAGAAACGTACTATACATACATATTTCACAGAGATATGGTGGCTTTTTACAGGTTTTGAACGGTGTTGCAAAAGTTTAGGCTATGGGAACACAAAGTAGCATAACAGAGAACTTATGGCCTGACCCTAAGAGGTTCGAATGCCACCAACCGAGCTACAAAATCCAACATCTTCAATTCTCTTTCACCTGTTCTAGACATACAAATGGTTGCTATTGAGGTGGTAATGGGGAAAAAGGTTCCTATTTGGGGATCTTACATCTGCTATGAGCAAGTAAAGTGAACACAGTGAATTCTTAAGAGAATGAACATAATTACGGGGTTTTAAGAGAATGATAGTGATGAATAGTTCAATGCAAACACAAGAGGGCGAGATTCATACTACCGATGCTGTAGAGAACAATGAGGATGACATAGTTGGCATATCAAATCAAATCAAGAAATCAATGCATATTGGAAGTATAATACAAAATATATTGGGAATCCGTGCTGGTCTGGTAAGCATATGAAAGAAGATTCAGAAATGCAATTTGTCATATTTGAATACAATGTGCCCTCTAGCAAGCAGCTAATGAGTATTTGTGGATGTCTGGAAAAGTGTAAACAAGGCAGCAAATGAAAATAGGGACAACATTAATGTAACATTTCAAGCAACTCAACCCATGAAACCGGAAAGCACCAAATGCTACACAATTGACAATTAGCCCTTGACAAGACTTAAATGGGTACGAAAGAGCAATATGTTACCTCCCAAAGTTCAAAGGGAACCGCATATTCATTATATAACTGAGTTATACTCTTTAAATCCAAGGAGAGCTCTTTAGCCTTCTCATATGCAACTTTGGCCAGCTCCACATCATTGTTATTATCAGCAGCTGTTCCATTTTGTTCTTCTTCGATCATGGGCGATACGGATTCAACTGTGCTTCCTATGGCCTCCAGTGCATCTTTTATTTTGATCTGCAATCTCAATACTGCAAGCTTTCCCTCAAGAAGATCGAGCAATCCACTGTCAAGAGCACCCCTGCCTGAGCCAGGAAGAAGACCACCATCACCTGCACTCTTTGCCTGTAGCACTGCATTACTTAGATATTGATGCCTGAAATCAACAAAGGACAAAAATATATGATTCAGCGAAGACATCAAGAAGAAACCCAGAAGAAAAGTTTCGAAGGCTGCAATCTTCATATAAATCCGGTAAAGATAGCTGTAATCAGTTTTCTTTAGTATGGAATTTTACTGGACAAGAATTACTGCTTAGAGAAAAGTATTGTCAGAACAAACAGAGGAAGTAACTAATATATGAGGATTGAAATGTAAAAGAAAGAGAAAAATGTCAACCTCTGTTCCAAAGTAGGTGCATTCCCAGCATCAGTAGAGCGTATCTCAGACAGTCTAAGCAATACATGAGCAGCAAGTACATGCTGCCTCCTCAAGACGTAATACCGTGCCAGAAGATCAAAATACTTCACTTGGTTTGAAGTGATTGATGTTCCTGAATGGCCAATGGGAGGAGAAGTTCCCACAGAAGGAGCTCCAACCTACAGGACCCACAACAGAAACTTAAATTAAATAAATAATCACTGAAATGAGCTCATTACTTACTCCAAAAAAAAAAAAAAAAACACTCAATCGAGATGAATCTGGCAATTACATTAGCTACATATTTGTCTTGCTTTCCTAGGACAATAAGCATTTCATGTCCATTGGTAATACTTCATGACAAAATGTTAATTGGTACACGATTTGCTGAATAAACTATGCAAAGCTTGAAAATTTGAACAGACTGAGCACAGTAGCATAATGATATCTCTTGTTTCTTTGTGATGTATTTGCCAGAAATACAAAGAGAACAGTGTAGATGGTGTCTTCATAGAAGAGGAATTAACAGGAAATGGAAGCAATCATGGCATAAGATGAAACATTAGTACCTCTTGTAAGGATCCCCTGCCACCACTCTGAAGAAAAGGAACTAAGTCAGCACCTCCAAATTCCAACAGCTCGTCTTCAAGGCCCAAATCAATCATAGTCCGGTACAGGTGCTCATGGAATAGTTTGTCCGATGATTGAACACCAAGCTGAACAATCTGGCTGATATATTTCTTCCTTGATGTCTGATCAAGAGGTCCAATATCCCTCTGTGAACCACCAACCTTTAGGGAACGTAAAGCACTGGCAACTATGTCATAGCACTGCAGCCGTTGGGCAAGTGCATATTCCTTGGTGGTTGTATCGATTTGGTCATTGAAAGCATCACCCGCAGGGTCAAGAGCCTGCGCCTTCTGCAAAGGCAAGCGCACAACAGCTTCATAAAATCTGCAAAAAAGGTGCTTCCAGTTAAAGACTCAGCCCTTTTCATATTATGAGTTAGGCTAAGAAAAGTAAATGCTTTTAGCAAGAACTCACCTCAAATCTTCAAACCTTTTGCAAACAGGCCTCAAATCAGCAGACTCTGGCACTTTACTTAGAAAATTAAATGCCTCCCTGCCAAGATTCTCCTTTTCCACAGGATCAGATGCCACGGCAGCTTTTTCAAGGCATTCAACAGCCAAAAAGAACTTGTAATCGGCCTCCTTGAAATAGCTTGGGCAGCCTTCACGCAATCTTCCGCTAATATCATCTACTGTTCCCCTGCCATCAGGACCAGTATAATACTGGAGAGACAAACCACATTCATTCAACCAAGGATAATCGATGGCATCGTCATAAGATAATCAGCTAAAGCCTAAGTACTTGGTAGCCAAAGGAATAATATCGTCAGTGTGATTTTTATATATGGCCCTAGATGAAGTTGGTTACCTCCATCAATTTAGTTGTTAGCAGGGTAGCAATACGGTCACCCTCCTCAGAGCAAACTATTTGATGAAATGTCAACTGAATCAAAGCCTGTCGTAGGGTAGCATCAAACCCTTGAACCAAACGTGTTAGATGATGCTGAGAAAGAAGCTGTAGCAAAAAGAGAGCTTCACCAGATCGAAGAAGCAACTGTCTTACACACTCCATGGCCCTAACCTGTATCAGAATAAGAAAATTAACATAAAAAACAGACAAAAAAGAAAGAGATTAAGATCCAATAATAGACAACCTATCAAGGTAGAGGACAAGTTCAACAACCAACCTCCATTGCTGCTAATTCTGCAGGACTATATGGCAATCTCTGCCTTTTGTTTGACGGTCCGCTGCCATTACCGTTTTGAGAGTAAGCACCAAATAAGTTTCTCACAAAACTTCGGTCACCAGCATCTATGTCTGAACCATATAATATTGAGCCAGTCATGTCTCCCAAACCAGCCACACAACCATAGAGTCCCCTTCTCTGGTTCCTTCTAGATCTCAGAAACTTCTCTAAAGAACGGATCTTTTTTTCAAGGACTTGTATAGCACCAACAGAGATTCTGCATACAACTACTACATTTTCACATGACGCGTCGGAACCACCTTTTGTGACAAAGACAGGGAGTTCCCACAGAGGAAAAAGCAATCTTGATGAGCACAGGCATAGACCTTCATGTGCACCTGAGAATACAGGCTCAGCTTCCTGGACAATTTGGCCCATGCTAAAACCCCCTGTTCCTGTTCTAGTGTTTGACAGCGGATTGATACCTTCAAGTTGTGGCATTCCAACAAGTCTTGGGTCTTCATAGGCTTCAGCTGCCCTTTCGGAGACAACATTAGTTATAAGATTCTCAAAATGAACTATTTTTGCTGCCAACATTAAGCACATTGCAGCTGCCTCAGAAGCACCAAAGCGGTTGAAGAAATCTTCCAACATAGGCCGAGGTAAATTTGATTCAAACAACTTCCTCAAGATATCCACAGGTCTGTTGAAGACTACTTCCATCATCCCCATAGTACTGAACAAAATGATTCTCCTCCTTGGCAATATGTGCTGGGTGGAAAGATCACCTCTAGCCCAAAGCTTAGCAGAAGCCTTTTCACAGGGCACCTCTGTGTCATTTAGTCCAAAAATCTCAAGTTCAGCATAGAGTGACTGAACAGTGGCAGCAGTATCTGGCAATGGTAGGACATCTGCTACAAAAAGCATTCGACCTTCCACGGGTATAGAAGATACAATCTCTCTCAAAGCACGTGAGCTCCTGGAGGAGCTACCTAAATTACCAGATACAGATGAATGAGAACTAGTGTCCTTGCTCACAAGTACAAGAGAAGTCATTGCTGCTGGAGAAGAGTCAGAGAGGACAACAGTTCCAGTAGAATAGAATGCTGCTTCAACCTTCAACGAAAGATCCTCGTTCGGAGTTCTATTGGCAAGAGATACAGCTCCAAAGGTGAGTCCCCCACTTACCCCTAAAGGAGGAGAAGGCCGAGTTGCCACAACCTTCAAACAATGAGGCTTCCCACTACTACCATTGAATCCAACATTACCGCCAGTGGATGAAGAAGTGGAAAGATACATTCTTCTCCCATCAGATAAAACAGCAACTAGGTGCAAGGACTTGGATTCCAAGGAGGATAAAGGTGAAATGCAAACAATTGATGACTTCCCTGATCTGCTTGGGGTCCTTGATCCTGTTGGTAGTCTACCTCCATGATGAATGTCTCTCTGACTAAACAAATTCCTTTCCTCGGCCACTTTCTTCACAGGTCCATCTACACTTGGGTCTACAAAGAAAACCTGAAGTTTCATGTCTTCAGTTCGGGCATACAAAGTATGTCTTTCATTGTCAAAAACCATTTCAACAATGGGATCAACAGTTCCAAACTTAAAGACATTTGGCAAAACCCACCTGAAAAGGAAAAAAGATAAAGCATATTTGAATCTGTGATAAATGGAAAGACCATGATGAAAATTGTATCAAAAAGTCATCCCTTAAAGACGAACACTGAAACTGATGGTCAAACATGTCATCCCTGATATTGGCACAACATACCTAGAAATCACACTACCAACTCCAGCTGTAAGGCAAACTTTTCTACACCGCTTATGCCACCCAGAACCGGTGCTGTACTGCAACTCATAAATGTGGCCTTCACGCCCAGCCAAGAAGATACGACCATTATCAGTAGAAGCAATACAAGTCATGGTAACCCCATCAGATGGTACCGAATACTCAGGCAAAGGTTGTAGTGAAACCTCCGCATAAGGATCAAGGCCATCAGCCCTGCTAGAACAGCATACTCCAACAAGAATCAACTGGGCACAATAAAGAGGGTCAATTACAAAGACAGCATTATGATAAGGAAAATGAAAAACAAGGAACATTTAGGACCAGCAAGAGATACATCAACTCATCAGCTTTCACAAGAGGCACATGTTGTTTCTTTTCTATTATTCTGTCATCCATACTGAAAGACACCCACCCAACCCATCTTCCACCACAGAAACTAGAAAATGAGATAAAAGAATATAATCAGCAGTTTGAAAGTGTTACCTTAACGCTAATCCTGCAAATACCAGCCTTGAAACAGCTAAAAACAGCCATTTGCAACCATTGGAGGACGATGAGAAAATTTTGGAGAAAGCATAATACTGTCTGATGGCTGTAACCCATAATTTTTTATAACAAAACCCTCCAGTTAAGTTGCTTGAGACTTTATATTGCATGAAAAACAATAAAACTTAGAAGCCACCTTAAACAAGCCCTGATTCCCTCCCGTTAATTTGCTTGAGACTTCCAGTGCATGAAAAAAGAGAAACCCAGAGACCACCTTTCAGAGTGCAATCAACAGTAAAGCTCTTACTTTGTGTCAATTCAGGACCTTATACAGCACCCACAAAAGCAACATTCCATCACCAAAAAAGGAAGGTGAAGGATGCAACTTCAGCAGCATAATAAAAGAGGGAATATTAAATAATTAAGAGACTTTTATCTTAATACCTCAGCCGGAGTTGCAAGGACTAAGACATACTGGATTGCTTCAACAAAAACTCCAGGTTTGGTTTTAGCAAGGCCAACAGCACAAATAGCTTGTTCTTCAGTGTTGTAGTCTGAGCATTGACCATCCCTGATATATAAAGGAAGAGACAACAAAAAATATGACAGGAAAGAGTATCAGAATATTGAGTATGCTGAAATAAGAAAAGTCACTATAATGATTATTTCTTGACATATTCATATTGTGCTTGTTCTGTCAATTTCCTCATAACAGTTTCTGAAAATACCAGAACGTGCATTCTTTGCCATTAATATCACTTGAACTAAACCAAACAGTATAGCAAGAATAGTTTGCTCAAATTAAACCAGTAATGAGAGAGAGAAAGAGAGAGAGAGACAGTGGATGAGTGAGTGAGAGAATGAAAGAAGGAGCAGGAGCAAAATGCTTAGGGAAATGACAAAAGATTCTAGGTTGGTGCCACTTGTAGAAATCTAACTGTAGATCTGTGAATCAGTAAACAAGTAGAGCAGCATATAACCATGCTTAGCCTAATCAAAGTTCGTCATAAAATGATATTTAATTGAAAACATTAGCCCTTAGAAGCAAACATGGATCCATAGTTGAAGAAACAATCATGGAATTCATATATAGCCATTTTAAAGATACAAGACTTTACTAATAAAGACAGTATGAAACAGCTCAGGAATAAAGAGAAACATGACATTACTAAATGAATGATCCTCATCAAACAGCAGATATTCACATTTCAAAATCCAAAGCCCAAGTTTGATTCAATCAAAAGGGACACTGCCTATTTTATAAACTGTGAAATGATCAAGTCCCGCAAGCAATAGAAGCCACTTCCTTGCGACATGAAAAGAGAGCATTGTGAAATTGCTTACCCTTTATCAAAACGCCAGAGAAACAAAGAATTATCAAGAGATGCCCATGCCCGCCGTATCTCTGGAAATATCCCACAGAAAGCAGTTCCTTCTCGACCAGTCGAATTATACCTCTCAATAAGTACAGAGGGCAGATCCCATGTATCTGTTACTTCTACCAAAGGAGGCCACTGGAAGAAAACAGAAACAAAATCACAAAGGTTAACCGTTCACTACATTTGCAATTACGACGTTCTATTATATATTCAATATATTCACCAAATACAAAGACCTTGGAACTAAAATTCCACTTAAAAGAAGTTAAAATTCAAGACAAGTCCGGCCTAAGATTCCAAAATCAGAATTCCAGTGAAGGCATTAGCAACCCATGAAAAGTATTTCCAAGACTCCAACTACGGCACCACTGTATCAACATCTAAGGAAAAAAATGAATCCCTAAGACTCCAATTCACGTAGCTCAAAAAATCTGCACCCGAACTTGAATCCATCCGCAGCACTTGAAATATTCGCAGCGACATGAGAAGAAAGTGTGAAGGTAGAATGAAAGTAGAAACCTCTCTTGGATGAGTAGAGTAAGGATGGCTGGAGTATCGAGAAGCCTCTAGGGATTCTTCAAGGTCAAGCTGAGTAGCGACTTCCCTCCCTATCCGGTCGCTCACCACCAGGCCGGCATGCTTTACGTCCCTGAGCGCAAGCTCTTCTTCTCCCGACATTTTATCCGCAGCAGTAACAGCCCAAGTTCACCCTCACCTCAAGGAGAGATGGAGGGCGAAGCAATTCGAGTAGCAGTTGGCGGTATTGAATTGACAGAAAACAAGAAGAAAAACCCTAAACCGTGGGGAGGTTTGAACGGGATTGATTTGTTCGTGCGATTCCACTGAAGCCCGTCCCGAGGATGAAGTTGCTGGAGCAGAAACCGGAGGGAAGAGTAGCAGAGTTGGGGGAATAGAAGTGTATGTAGAGTAGCGAATTACAGAGATCGCGTAGGGTTTTGCAGAGACAGAGAAGAGAGCTATGACTGGCGGGCAAAATCAAAAGGATTTACAATGGGAGTACCGCTCGGCCCAAACAATACTGCCCGTTAGGAATTTTAATATCGAGTTTTTCTTTTCCCTTCCTCCTACATGTTACTAGCATTTTAGCCCGGCCAATGGCCGGGAGGTGTCTGGATGTCTGCACATTACTTCAAGAATATTGCTTTTTAATTTTAGATAAACTAATTTCTAAATTGACATTTTTTTATTTAATATAGAAGAATTTTATAATTTTATATAGCATTGGTGGTATAGGGTTTTGTCTTTATGGTACAACTTGAAATTTTACCTTTAATGTTATGTGACAACTTCATATTGTACCTATACTATTTTATGGTACAATATGAAGTGCATGAACTTGTACATTTATGTGACGATACAATTTTAATTTTTAACGTTAGTACAATCTAAACTTATACATTTAACGTTATAGTACAAAATTGTACATTAAAGTACAAATTCTTTATAGCATAATAGAAATGCTCTTTAATATAAAGAATGCATGTTTGTAAGCGATGACATTAAACTCTTAATCGAAAAATATTGTTTATTTACTAAATCTATCGTGAACATACCTTAAAAATTCTCATTCTTTAAATATTATGTCAATTTATGATGGTTAAACTCTTTAATATTGACCCATTCTTTTGGGGGAGTATTTCTATAATTTTATTTGTTTTAATGAACTGGTTGTTTATCAAGTTTCAGTGTAGCGTCTTATTTAACGATTTGTATAATTGAAGACAATCAAATCCATAATCTTGAATAATATATGCTCCAAATTTCTGGTGTATATATGCTCGTTCGGTAGTTAATCAGTGTCTAAAACTGTACTATACTGGTAGTTCGACCTAAAAGGTCTCATACCAATAGTTAAATCGGTTGACAGCTTCAAATGATATGAAATGGTTGAACGATAGTTAAACCATGATTTCAGCACCAATATCCTATGTTGATTTTTTAAGTACAACCTATATGATTTATAGCCCTTATAATAAATTTGTTTCTTAAAATTTGTGGTTTCAAATTTGAAAATTCTTATTGAAATAATGAAATTTTAATGTACTATAGTAGGAACTTGCACACTTTTTTTTTTTATACTTTTGCTTGGTGAATATTATCCTGAATAAATTACCCTTTTATTTTGTTATTTTTTCTGGTGGGTGGGTAAATTTGAAATGTAGGTAAACAAAAAAACAAACAAAAAACGGGAAAACAAAAACAAAATAAGGGGAAAAACTAATAGTTCCGAAACTTGCGGGCAATGCTCCGAGGCTTACGTGGCAACCGGCTTTTTCCAAACTGTTTTAATATTTTGTAAGACAAGTTAAAACTTAAACCCTATGAAACCGTCAAAACGGTTTATGCCTTCATTTCGGTTTGGCTAGTAATATGGTCTGATTGGTGGTACAATTGATAAAACATGTAGGGAATTATTAAAATATATATATATATGCACCTAAATTATAAATTATTATTGGTTATTATGTTGTGTAATGTTCATTGGAATATTATAATACAAATTATAAACTCTTAATTGTATGAAAGTAGCAAAATGAATCAATTTTCTTTACACAATTGGTTGATGCAGTAATGAACATTTTGATTCAAATACTACACGGATCCATAGGATACAAAGTGGCAAGTGTCTAAGTTGTTGCAGTATTACCAATTTGTGAGAAATGTATTATAAATGTTAGTCAACTTTCTTAAAGGCTAGTTGAAAAATTATTTTTATAGATTAACCCAGACCCAATCACACGCATAAACCACTTATCCAATCCAACCTGGAAAAAAATGTGGGTGGATAACGGGTCACATTTATACCAACTTGCTAGTAAGTGGGTGGGTCAATTTAAAACCAAAATTCATCTAACGTGTTTATTGCTACCCCTACTTTCTACAACTTAATCGTTATTCGTCGCCCCAAAATTAAATTTTATCACCCTAGAACTTAAGAAATTGACATATTTACCACCCAACCCAACCCAATTTCAATTCTAAACCCTAACCAAACAAAGGCCTAGTCTCTTCCCTCACCCCCAACCCACATTCGCCGCCCGCCTCCCCTAGTAACCATCGACCCCCAACCCACCACCGCCAAAAACCCAACCCTGCCACCTCCCTGCTCACCCCCAAGTCGCAACCCCATTTGCTTTGTTGCCTCCCCTGCTCCCGTTGCTGCTACTTGACCGTCGGAGGGAAGGAGGAAAAGAAAGCAAGTATGTTGTTGTTGTTGTTGTTGATGCTGGAGTCTAGAGGAAGGCCCCCTTGTTTTATGGATGATGATATTTGTTTCCTTCACTGGCTTATCACCTATTTTTTTTCCTCCCTCACAATTTTGACCATAATGTGTTGCTTCCCCTTGATATATTTGTCATGTCGTATGCATCCAGAGAGAAAAAGGTCAATCTTGCATCCTTTATGTGTCTAAATATACTCAATTCTATCACGACTCGTGATCACAAGGATGATATTACTGGCCTTCCTTATGCCACTCTAGTGACCAAGTTCCTCAAGAAAGTTGGTGTGGATCTTGATGCTTATAAGTCCTCTGCTGACCTTTCTGTGTACCATCCTATTGGAGCAATCATTAATGATCTCCAGGACCCAGTACGAGCTGTTGAGCAACGACGTATGGTGGAAAATGGGGATCAAGAATACATGGATGGAGCGAGGGATATGGGAGCTGATGAAGCCAATGAGGATGATGATGGTGATGGTGATGAGGGTGATGATTTAGTTGATGATGCTGATAGTAGATTTAGGCCTCGTCAACAAGTTCAGTGAAGAGGAAGAAGAATGAAGGAGGAGGAAGAATAAGGAAATCGTTCATGAAGCAAGTGGTTCAATGTATTTTTTTTATTATGAATTAGTAGTTTTTTGGATTTTTTTTTTGGATCAGTAGTTTATGTTTATGTTGTTTTCTCAATATTTTTGAATTGAGATACATGGTTTATGTTTTTTTTATATTTTCAATCTATGTTTTCTTTGGTTGGTGATACGAGGAGGCCATCTCCAATGAGGCAATGACAATGGACTGCCAAAGATCAAGAGTCTAGCCCTAACCATTATTCATTACTCTATTTTCGGCACCGGACGGAAAGTTGAACCGAAAAAGTTAGTGGTTTAGGGTGTAGTGGTTAACCGTTACAAAATTATTGGGTAACCGTTGATAGAACCATTCCTCATATATATCATACAAGACTTGTATAATATGCTAATTTAAGAATGGAGTTCATCATAAGTTGATAACGAGGTTGGAAAATGAGAAGAGGAAGGAGAAATAAAATTAATAATTGTTCCTCGATGGTTTAGTTTATGTTAGAGTATATCTAAAAAAATAATTATGGAAAAAATAGTGAAACAGAGGATCGATTAAACCGTGATGGTTCATCTGGTTTTATGTTGAACCATGAAAACCGTTTGGTCCATCAATAATCATCCAAATAATGGATCGGAGCGCTATCGCAACTGGTTTGGCGATTATACTGGCCCATCGGTTGATCCAGTTTGATTCTTATACTAGTTACTTGTCTCTATTAAGGGTTATATATGTGTTGATTTGATTGTTGTAATTTATGCATTATGAATATTACGTTTGATGTGGTAACATGCTTTTGGTTAACCAAAGTACCAAACCGATTAAAAATAGTTTGGTTCATCTGGATATTGTGTTAATTTGGACTAAAACCACAAGCCAAGCTGGGAGACTGGATAATCCTTCTCCTGTGCGGAAAAGGATTTGGACACACGCCAAGCCTCGCGCATGTATGTAATTTGAATGAGTCTGCGGAAAAGGATTTGAAGACGCGCCAAGACACGCGCATATTGAAATTTGAATAAGTCTATCTTAAAAAGGATAATGCATCGTATGGCCCAACATAAATATAAAAGGAAGTGAAATTGCTACATAACATTAACACCAAAGTCCAAAGGGGCCGGCGTGAACTGCTAGGGTTTGTTTCGCGACAACCTACCACAGAGCAAAAACAAAAATGCAGGACACTGAATTGGTTGAGAACCCTAAAATCACTACTCCTAAAGATGATGCTGAGATTCGACGCAACGACAAAGTTTCACATATTGTGGTCAACCCTGAAGTCACTACTCTTGATGATGATTTCGATATTCCACGCAACGATGAAGTTTCTCTTGTTGAGCACCCCAATCTCAAAGATATGTTACTACTTTCGATATCCATGGGCTAAGATTTGTTGATATAGATGAAGCGTTCGAATTTTGGAGGGAGTATGGGCTGGCCACTGGCTTTGATGTCAGAAAAGAAAATTTTGGTCGGAATAAGGACAGAGTGAAAACATGGCAATGGTTTTTGTGCTCTGCGGAGGGAAAGAAGCACGATTCGCCGAGAACGAAAGAGGGAGCCAAAAGAAGAAACAATATTCAACTGCAGAGCTAGGATGCACGTTATGTATAACGCCTTTGAATCGAACTGGTTTATATAGATTTTTTATAACGAACACACTCACGATGCGATTCCCAAACTATACAGACACTACGTGAAAGGGAATTGACGAATGAGCAATGTAATTAAAACAACCATTATTTTTCGAAGAGTCGCAGACATAAGGACGCATCAAATTGTTTATTTAGCCCTAGCAGAAGCGGGAGGCTACGAGAAGATGGGGTTCATAAGGAAGGATTTATACAATTTTGTAGACAAAGATCAGAAAGAATAAATCAGTGAGGGTGACGCTGTAACCACCCAGCATACCTACATGCAAAACTCAGCGCGAACGAGCAGTTTGTCCTAGAACTGGAGAAAGATGACGATGACAGGCTCATAAAAAACCTGTTTATGTTAGATAGTTTTGGTCGTAGATTGTGCATGTTTCAGGGAGTTATTGGCATTTGATGTAATAGACAAGAAGAACGTCTACAACTTTCCGCTAGTTATATTTTCTAGTATGTTCATAATGTAGACAAACTTTGCAGAGAATGACATGTCCTGTTTGAAGACTGCAAGCCCATTTTCATGGACTCATTAATATGCTTCTATTTTTGTAGGAGTAACCAACACTTCAACAGTTGCATCTTTGGATGTGCCTTGTTGTCTAGTGAATAGGAGGAAAATTATGTATGGGCTTTGGGAGCAATGCAAAAATGGCTCGGTGCCGAACCCAAGACTATCGTTACTGATGGGGATAAATCCATGCGTAATGCTATTGAGAAGATATTTCCTGCTGCAACACATTTTTTATGTGCTTGGCACATGGAGAAGAATATGAAAGAGAAGGTTCAGAATTCTAACTTTTTGTCCAGATGAGAAGAATTTGTGAAAGCTGATTGGGAACCTGAAGAATTTGAAGCCAAATGGAAAGCTCTGATCGGGGAGTTCAGCCTGGGTCATATCCAGTGGTTAACCCACATATTTGAACAACAAATGAAATGAGGGTATGCATACATGCGCTCCAAGTTTTGTGCAGGCTTGTCAACAACATCCAGATGCAAAGGTATGAACAACCAACTCACAAAGATTGTCACACCAACTATTGAGGAGTTTCCTTTGTAGAATTATTCGTCTATAACTTGCCGCTCATTTCAGGTATGGAATTCTCCAACAAAAAGCTTGCAACTGTGCTTGAGGGGGGGGGGGGGGGCGAAATTGAATAATGGTTTCAAGCATGCTTGCGAAATCCTTGACGTCTTATTCAAAAATTTAGATCAGATAAACATTGGTGCTCCTAACTTATTTGACATCAACAAACCCAAGGCAACACAAAGGCTCCTGGACCCAAGCCTAGTTAACTTTAAAGGGGGTAAACTAACCAAGAGAAAGAAAGGAGAGCCACGACAATGTAAGAGATGTGGAATCCATGGTCATAAGGTAACCACTTGTACCAAGCCGGAATATTACGTCAAGCCTACAGAGTTTGCCGTTGCTGTTGCTGGAGGACGAGGTGGTGGTGATCCAAATAATGACAATAACGACGACAACCACGATAGAGATAATGGTGTTGATCCAAATAATCGAGAGACAGGACCATCTAACTTTCGAAAACCAAAACGTTGCCGAAAATGCTCATCAACTGCGTATGATGCCATGACATGTCCACTTTCTGATTCCACCAAAGAGGATGCCAAAAATAGCTAGAGGATGATGATCAAGACAGCTCTGGTGTGCAAGTGGAGGCAATGTAGCGTTCTTACTGTGCATGTAACAATAAAAATGTGATCATCCATCGTCCTTACAAACTTGGTGTGATTTTGGTGTTACAGAAGAGGTCGCGCACTAGAGGGGATTTTGCGAAGAGGCAGCATCAAAGAAAGTAGAGATTTGGAGAGGAAGCAACGTCAAAGGAATTAGAGCTTTTCGAGTTGGAGCTTAGAGTGTTATGAAGACTATTATTTTGGTTGTTTATTTTATTATGGTATGATTTCAATGGATACTAGAACTAAGGGTATTAACGACATCACCAAGGTTATTTTCTGTTGCTCTCTTTACCACAAACCACTGGAAGCAACCCACAAACACAAGAATATACACCAGTAAGTCTAAACGCTATCCATAATTTCACTGCAGTTGAATATAAGGTATCTGAAGAATATCATAATCATGATAAAACTAACCATAAAATTTTGAAGCGGAGCAGTAATTGTACAAAAAGAGGCACCAGTTTGCTTCGACGTGATAAGAAAAAATATAGATAAAAACCATGCCACACAAACCCCTAGAAGTAGTCCACAAACACAAGTAGGACATAATGTTATGAAAAACTTGATTTAACTCCTACAACTTTGCATATTTACTACTAACTTAGTACTCAAACTTTATAAGCCATACTTTTGGCCTTCAAGTCTTCAAGTAACAAATTTTCTGGATCCAACAGCCGCTTCAGGGTGATAGCATCCCTTCTATCATTTATCACTTTTTTGCTCCTTCATTCCAGCATGAAATCCTATGGTTCTCCTTCCCAACACCCAGCCCAGTTCATCGTAATCACACCATAACTTATCCCACCTTTCTGCCTCACCACTTGTGGACTTTCCCATGAAAACTCGTTGAAGTTGAATTGATCATTTCTGCAGACCCCGAGGTATGCAATGGGATACTTGAAGACCAATTATCCAATGTCCTTATACTCCTTAAAGCTATGAGGAAGAATTGGAACTTCTTATCCCTCAAATCGACAACAAATGTCATCTAGTGTCTATTGTTGAGATGTGCAACGATCTCCTGCCAGTCAACAAAAATAAAACCACATGATATTTTTTATACCAGGAACAAAGAAATATACTCCACAATCAAAGCAAAAGATACCATAAACAGAGAAGTGGTAAGAAACACCCACATAGTCGCATGTCTGGAAGTCGACATTATGTGGGATCCATTTGCAGGTTGCAATTTGAAAGTCAATCTCAGCAAAGTAATTTGGTTCTACGAACTCGTAATCTGGGTCATTTTTCATCTCATCAAATATTTTTTAAACTTCAAACTACACAATTAAAAAGATTTAGTGTATCTGAGAAATGAATGAAACGAGTTGGACAATGCAGTTTAGTCGGCAAATAGATTATCTATGTAACGCACAACTATTGATGCGGAGAACACCCATGTTTTGAATGCCCCATTCTTTGTTTATTTACGATTGATGTAGTCGGAGTAAGCATCATCAAAACCATTGGACACCTCACTCTCGTGTGCCATTGTCCTTGTGCCTAACCTTGTTAGGGAGAAGAAGTCGTATGTACGACTGAAAATGAGCTCCTTCCTATAAGAGACCAGAATAGAAACATGATGCACCAGCATAGTAAAATGATAAACACGTCCATTAAATGCATAGCGGCCAACAATTAACTTACTCATTCACTGGCTCCCTTGCATATTGTAGGATAGCTTTGTGCAGCCTTTTATCCTGCTCAGTTTTTCCCAGACCAATGATAAAGGGATTTTGTCTTTTATTGGAGTGCCTCTACTTCCCTGCCTTCTTGGTGTTTCCAGCATGCTTCCGTTTCTTTGACCTTGAACTCTTTCCATCCTCCCCCTCATGCTCCTCCGTATTATTCTAGGCAAACATAATAAACGTACCATAAAAGTCACCATCCATACATGAACAAGTTGAAGCTTACCACAAAATCCTTTAGTAGTCTTCAACCATGAAGGTAATAGTCACCTTGTTTGTATCCTCCTCAAGTGATTCGGGCCCAAATGTACACATTTTACCCCTCATTTCTTATTCGTTTAGATTAGTATTTCATCGCTCCTCGACATATCTCACGCTAGGTTGTGCTTGTTTTGACAACTTCAGGTCCTAGCACGCGTGGAAGGGTCGAGGTCGAACTTTGGGATAATTGGAGGTAAAAAAGCGCAAAAACCGAAGAAAAGTCCAAAGTCCGTGAAAATTGTCCCATAACAGTGAAGTGCAGGCGTCCACGAAGCAGTCGTAGTTCACGGTCAAACAAGGGAGTTCACGGTCTCCTAAGATCGTGAACTGGAGCCACAAACCGTGAACATCGAGCATTCCATCGAGGTTTCAGAGGTTACTGACGTCAAGGGAGTTCACGGTCGCTAAGACCATGAACTGGGGCCAATGACCATGAACAATAGAAGCGAAGCGGTGCGTTTTGGAGACGACACTGAGTCACAGATGCGTTTAGGTGTTCACGGCCGTGAACTGGCCAACGCATCCGTGAACTGGTCATTTTCGGGCAAATATGATGACAGCAGCGGGGAGAGAGAAGGGAGAGCTAGTTTTGAGAGAAGAATTGGTTTCTTTCTCTAGGAATTGAGACTAAAACACCAAAGGGGAGTTATGGTGAGAGAGAGAGAGAGAGAGAGAGAGAGAGAGTGCTAGAGTGATCTTGGAGCATCATTGGAGGCTTGGGTGGATCTTGAAGACAAAGATTCAAGCCTAGAAGAAGAAGAAGATCTTGAGCTCAAATTTGTAATCCCTCTCTCTCTAGAAACACACTCTTTTCTCTTGGGTGTTGTAGATCCCTAACTAATAATTTGTAATTACTTATTTAGATTGAATGATTAAGTGTGAGTTTGCATCAATTTGAGTATTAGAGGTGTTTTCATGGTGATTGTGCTTAGTTGTGCTTTCCAAATCTTGTGTGCTTGCCTAACCTAGATTAGAGAAAAACCACACTTTTTTAGGTACGCTTGACAAGCTTGGTTTTCCTGGGCACTTTGTGCCTACTATGCTTGCCTAACCTAGATTAGAGAAAAACCACACTTTTTTAGGTA